ATGTTAGTTTGCCCCTTTTAACTAATTTTCATATTACATATTTTATAGGAAACAAAATTCATTTATAGAAGTCACTTCAAATTTAATATCAATATAGATAAATCAACAGAGAATTTTAATTGTAGAAAAAGCTATTTTGACCTGGTAAAGTAAGAATTTTTAAATTAAAATATGCAAAATATTTACATTAATATTTTGTTATTAATATTTTTACATTGAACTATATGTATTCATAAGAAGTAGTATATATTGTATGAATATATAAATATATAAATATATAAACATATATATATATATAATTCGAATATATTCGAATATTATTCGAATCAAATATCATAGTATTTGTATTCGCTTTCGTTAAGTATTTGAATAAAAAAATAGATTCGTATTCGTATTCAACTTACTCGAATTCGAATCGGCATATTCGAATTCGAATCACGAATCGAATCAAAATTATTCGATTCGTTTACAACCCTACATGCTATCACCCAATTTTGGAAATTAGAATTTGAACATAACATCATTTTGCTCTGTTATGATTTTTTTTCTTTGTTTTGATATCCGATTGGCATTAGCTTGTTCCCAAATTTACACAAAACTGCATTCATCTTTGTTGTTGTTCTTTTCTACTTTTTTATTTTGGATCCTGCTAAATCCAATTGTTTTTATGTTTTTTGCTCTGTTTATGTTTCCACAGCAAACTTTTCATATATTTTAAAGATCCATTTCTTGAAATCAAAATCACTTTTGAGTATGCTTTTTGTTTCTTGTCGGGAGAAAAACTTGCTTAAATGTTATCATGGTATGTCCAACTGCCAAGCCTGAATCTCTTCTAAAAAAATACCACAAAGGTTCTTACATTTCTAATTCATTCTGAAATTGCTCATACAAAAAATAATAAGAACTTGTGATTTTACTTGCATAAATTAAATGTATTAACTCCACATATTTCATTTTTAGTCAAGGCCGTCCCAAATTATAGGAGAGCCTTGTGCTAATTATAGAATTAGACCTTATGCATTTAAAACATTGCACAATTTTAATCAGGAATTGTATTCTAATTACATAGATATATTACTTTTTTATGTTTATTAAAAAACGAAAGTAGTAATCTTTAATCAAATAGAAAAAGAAACAATTACATATTTATAACTAAAATAAAGATGATTTACAAAACTATTACTAGTGACTATAAAAGTAACTAAATTATAGTACCTTATCTTCAATTTGTTAACTTAAGTGACAATGACACTATCTATCAGGGGCGGATCTACATTGTCTATAGTGGGGGCACATGCCCCCAATAAGATTCTATTAATGCATTAATATTATAGGATTTTTAGGAAGTAGTTTTTAATTAAAAATGAATTGCCCCCAATAATTTTTTATCATGCCCCCAATAATATTTTAGAAAAGTTATATCATATGTATAATAAAAACTTATTTGATCTATCTCAAGTTTGCTCAATTGGACTATATGAAAATGATATAGACTATTGAGTTGTAATGTACTAAGTTAAATTAAATAGTGCCAATGTGTTATATACTTAGTTTACCAAATGCTATATTTTTCATCCGATAAAATCTATTGAAATACTACATCCGTCCCATAAAATTCTTCCCACTTTGACTTGGCACGAAGATTAAGAAAGTGAAATAAAGTGGAAATGTATGGTTGTGGTTATGTAAGAAAAAGGTGAAATGAATGTGAACCACACAAATTGTCCAAAAATGATAAGTGGGAAGAATTTTTTGCGATGGCCCAAAAAGGAAAGTGGGAAGAATTTTATGGGACGGAGGAAGTAATAAATTAATAATGTTCTCATTTTCATTGTGAATTTAATTATACATTTGTGAAATACAAATAATTTAATCAAGTATACTCTATATATACTCCGTAATATTTAGAGTATACTTAATTAAAAGATTCTCAAAATCTAACACTCCTTTCGTCCCAAAAATTTTTCCGATTTGACTTAGCACGCTTATTAAGAATATGCAAATAAAGTGTAAAATGTACAATTCTTGTTGAGTAAGAAAAAAGTAAATAAATTAGTATGCTATTGTCAACCACACATACCTTTTTCGTAAAGGCGGGTAAGTTTTTAGACATCCCAGAATGATAGGTGAGAAGAACTTTTTTAGACGAAGGGAGTATGTAGATATGCTTAAGCACATAATTTGTATTTATCACATAATCGGCCTTAAAATAGATAAATTAGAGTATGAGTCAGCGATGTTGCTAAAGTTCCAATATTTTAATTTTATCGAGAGTGGCAAGGACATTAATCAATTGTATCCACTATTCTAAAAATCGGCCTAGTCGGTCTAGTCAACCCTTACTCTAGAGGACTAATCGGCCTCGTCAGCCACCTAGGCGCTTGGCGTCCCTCAGCCATCTGACAAGCGCCTAACATATTTTAGAACAATGATCATAGTAGAAATTTTTACACAAAATTTACACTTATAATGATTTTGCTGAGCTTGTGCGGGTTGTCCTATATTTGAGAAGTCTACTTACAACCATGTATACAATACATGGTAAGAAAAATTGAGAATAATAATCCCAACTATCGCGGTCTGTCGTTAATAATCTAAACTATCGATTATTCCTTGGTGGTTCACACTATAGGGAATATTTTCCAAAAATAGTCCCTAACCGGTTACAACCTAGTATAGCAGCTCATTTTAAATGTGAACCATGTGTAAGTTTTAAATAATCCCAACTATAGTTGGCCTGTTTGTATTTATCCCAACTATCACCTCTCAATTTTTTGGAGGTTTTGACTATTTTTAATGAAATATGTGTTAATATTATAATATTAAGTGATATAATGGAAATTGTAAAAATGTAGAAAAAGTGTATCCAAATGGTAATAATAATCCCAACTATATTGGTAGGTAGAAAAAGTGTGGACTTTTGGTAAACATTTTTTTTACCGTCATTTTAAGACATTTAAATTTTTAAATTGGTAGAAATTAAAAGTACTAAAATGGAATAATTAGAAAATTTATATTTTTAGATTAAGCTAGAATAAATATCTAAATTTGAATATAGGAAAATAACACTAAATCATAAATTGGTAACATGAATATGAAAAACAAATTGAAAAAAGGAAACAATGAATTTTTAATGAAAATAAATAAAAAAATTACAAAAAAAATTTTAATTTCGGTACATTTGTAGAATATGTTGGAAAATGTGTTAAAAATTGCATTAAATGGTCATTTTGGGACAATTATTTGAGTGGGGTCCACTTCCGATTTGGGTCGGGTCAAAGTGGTTTCGGATTGTCCTTGTTAAGGGCTACAATTCGATATGTGGTACACTCAAAACGGATAACGGGTGAATGAGAAATTGATTCTCGAAGTTCACTCGTTGAAATAGAAAAAGTGGGAAAAATGATAAGTTTCTAGTGTGTTTTATCCCACACCGAAAAACTCAAGGGATTTTCACCCCCTTATAAAGGAAAGCCTCTTTTAAGGAGTTAAGATTCCTAAAGGGAAAGGCTCTCTCTTACGCGCAGGGGGGTGCCGATCAAATCCCGAAACGGAGAAGAAAAACCACGACTCGTGTGCGCGGGCGACCTGCAGACACGAATGTCGTCCAAAAATCTATCTCTCAAGAGATGTGGTTAATTTTTGTTTTCTTCCCGAAACGTTTATTTTTTTTCAGAAGTGCTCCGGACAGAAGGCCTCGAACAGAACCCCTTGAAGGGGTGTTCTGTTGCCTTCGGACAGAAACCCTCCAAGGGGTGTTCTGCTGGCTTCGGACAGAAATCCTCCAAGAGGTGTTCTGTTGGCTTCGGACAGAAACCCTCCAAGAATGCCCAACGTTCTTCTCTTTAAATGTTGCGTTAAATGGACAGTTTATGGACGATTCAATGGCCAACGGACTGGTCATTGATGTCCAACGTTCAGGTCCATTAACACCTCATTTAACACACAACAAATCCTCCTATAAATAGCTGGCAAGTGCTTTGCAACAAACACACGATTTTGACACAACGCACAATACATTCATCACGTATTCTTGAGCTAAAAACACCTACAGCTACTCTGAAAATTCTTTCTGTGTTCTTACTTGGTTCTCGTTCGCTGGAACTCTTGTTTGTGTGCTCAAACACTAGTTCGTGGTCATCGTATCCTGGGAAACGATTGTTGCAACGCTCCTAGCACAGTGGGAGGCAACAAATACGTTTTAAGGACATCGATCGAGCTTTGACTAATTCTGCTTCATCTCCTTTCTTGTTTTTCTCTAGTCATTTTATTTAATTAATTTATTTTAATTAATTTTCTTTATTTTCCGAAACACACCCAACAGAATATTCATAATTAATTTTTCATGATTAAAAATATTTATTTGTGAAATTTATAAAAATATTTCTATATTTTCTGAAAATTGAGAGTCGATAGTTGCGATTGTTAAAAAAGGTTAACTATAGTTAGGATTATTCAGAACTTACACATCGTTCACATTTAAAAATGACTTGTTATATCAGGTTGTAACAGGTCAAGGACCATTTTTTAAAAATGGTCCCTATAGTTGGGACCACTCAGGAATAATCGATAGTTAGGATCATTATTTTCAATTTTTCCTACAGAGTATATGTTTTCATCTTATGTTCATTGATATGCCCCCGATAAATTTTATTTCTGGATCCGCCACTGTACACTATAATAGTATATTGTATTAACTATTAGTCATATTTATGTAAGTAAGTTTTATTTTAATAATATTTTTGAAAAAAATTCATGAAAGAGTGGTTTGTATGTAATATAGACTATTTTTAAATTAAATTGTCAAAAATTATTTTATAGGGAGTAATACATTATAATATCATTCACACAAATCAAGAAAAGAATAAGACAAGAATGGTATAAAAATGCATGAAAGTTGTATGTATTAAATAAATGAGCAAATTGGCCTAAAACCCAAGATAATAACTTTGAACAAGAGGCGTGAAACACGTGTATAATAAGTAAATAAATAAGCTCCTGAAATTGCATTAATACATTTTATTATTGGGCCACCGGGGCAATGTTTAAAATACTAAGCAGTTACAATTAAATTGCATTTACGAGACAAAAATGTAAATGTTACGGAGTACAACATTTTCTTATAAGTTACAAATAAAGAGAATTTGAGAATAAAAATGTAGGAATACATTAATTAATAACTAAACAAAAATTGGATTCGCAGATGTGACATAGGTCACAATCCCTGAGGTATTGAAACCGTTAAAATTTGACCCGGCAGCTTTAGTATACGCGCCCATGTTGGGAAACACCAGCCAGTCGTTGGTCTCAAGTTCCGGCAGCTGGTAATCCCTCACCACCGTGTCAAGCGCGTCGCATGTCGGCCCGAACACCGTCGTGGCGAACGTTTTCGGCTCCTCAAACCCCGATTTCGGCGGCGCCGACGCGCTGCAGGTTAAGGCCTTCGGCGCCACGGTCGCGTGGTCGTACAGCAGGCAGTTCATCGACCCGTACAAGCCATCGTTAATCCAGTACTCGCGGAGATCTCCCCTCACGCGCTTTCCGATAACTGTCGTCGCCAAAGTGAAAGCGGTTTCGGCGAAGAACCGCCCCGGTTCGGCGATGACGGCAGTTGAATCGAGCTCGTCGCCGAAATAATCTCGTAACGCTGAGTTTATCGCTTTAGCGGCGTCTTCAAACGGCTTTCCAGCCGTGAATCCGCCGCCAATGTCGAGCACTCTCATTCTAGGCATGCCGAGCCGAATCGCCGTCTCGAAGACGGATTTCGCGGCGGCGATTGCTCCCCTGTAGGCGACGGAATCCGCATCGCCGCTGCCAATGTGGAATGAAACGCCGGTGACATTGAGATCCGAGTCTCGAGCGCATTCCAGAAGCTTCTCGATCTCCTCCGGCAGCGCCCCGTACTTCGGCCCCATCGGACATCGAGCGTTCCCGTCGTTGACCGGCTTGATCCGGAGGAGCAAATCGCAATTGGGGTGAAACCTCTTCATTTTCTCGACCTCATACACGGAATCGAACGTCGCGAGATTCACGCCGACGTTAGCGGCGTGGACGATGTCGGCTTCCGGCTTGCAAGGATTGGCGAAGATTACGCGGTCCGGTGATACTCCGAGGGACAGAACATAGTCAATTTCGGCTCGGCTGGCGCAGTCGAAGCTGGAGTCCATGGCGGCTAGGATGGACAGAAATGACGGCTCAGGGTTACATTTGACGGCGTAGAACGGACGGACGTTAGGGAGAGCCGTCGTCCATTTGTCCATGAGAGAAACGACTTCGCCCATATCAAGCACATAGAAGGGGACTTTCGCGTCTTGCTTTTTCAATACAACGGACTTGATATAATCGTTGATGGCATCTTTTGACATTGGCAAAATCCGTTTCCGGTCGTCCGCCGGAGATCCGACAGTTGACGGGAGAATGGACGGCGAGTTCAAGCCGGAGATGAGGATCGGCGCGCGGTCCATTTTTGTTACAGTTTTGGGGTGGCAAAAAAGGAGGGAGCAATGAAGAAAGACACAGAAAGGGAGGTGGGCTTTTCCGTTTCAGAAGTTTGTAGTTGAACAAGCGAAAGAATTTATAGGTGAGTTTCAACCATTGAACGACCAAATTAAAGGCCCCACTTCCAGATCACGTTAATATGCTGGAATGGTCAGAAACGTTACCTTTGCTTCATTGCTTGTATGTATATACTTATGGTCAGCTCAGTTGGTTGATCGACAGGAGATTTGGATCAATAGATCTAGGTTCAAATCTCCGCAACGACAGTGTGGAGGTCACAAAATCTGAAATAAGGCTGAGTCTTTAGTGCGCACGGGTGCATAAGTCTACTGTCATTCTACTGACTGAGTCACCGTGACTAACTTTCCCACCATCTTGTCGGGTCGAGGTGGGACTCCTCGGGTGGGAGATTCCACCTATCGGATCAATTGTACGTATATACGTATTACGTAGTACGTGGTATTTTGTTCACAAAATTAAAATGCACAATGGTTCCAGGTCACCAGCATATTTCGAGCAAATCAGGATCGCTCGATTTAGTCAACAACCAAACTATGCCATTTGGCAAACAATGGAAGACCAAATTATACTTTAAATATTACTGCTTATATATAAATGTTTATTTAATTGCTCTCTTAGATGACCTTTGATGAAAGTATATATTTCAGACTCAAATAAACCTTCGGTAGCAATTAAACAAGGGAAAAGGTGCAAATAAGTACTCAAACTAAACCAAAAAGTGCAAATCACACCTTTTATAGGAGACTCTGTCTAGCCGTCACCATTTAGGGAGGTTTCCGATGGAATTTTTTGATGATTTTTTTTTACCATCTTCTTCATTAAGTCTAGTTTACACCTACCAAATTTGATCTAAAAATTCAACCGGGAAGGCCGCAGTCAAATGATTTTCTGAAATATACTGCATTGTTTAACTCCACACGCAATTATCTTCAAACATTTATTTGACTGCCTTCCCGATTGCATTTTTAGCTGAAATTAGGTAAGGGTAAACTAGACTTAATGAAGAATATGCTAAAAAAAATTAATCGAAAAAATCCACCGGTAACCGGCCTAAAGGGGGCGACGGTCGGACAGAGTCTCCAATAAAAGGGATGATTTGCACTTTTTATGTTAGTTCGATGTCTTATTTGTCCCGTTTCCCATTAAAGAATAGTACAACATACTATAGCAACTTGTATTGCTAATTTGAGTAGAACTCACCCATAAAATATATGTCAAAATTGATAGGAGAATAATAAAAATCCTAATATACACACACTAACCGGGGAATAAACCGCTGCACATACGCGTTTTTTAATACTCCGTAACTTCTTAGGCATTTTCTAATTAAAAAACAGAAAATATGAAAAATAGCACCGAAGATTTGCGACAGGAGATGGGGCTAGGGTTTATTAATTACACCCCCATGCTCTCGACCCTCTCTTTCGGTCCTTGTAAAATTGTAATGACATTTTTTAAATTAATACGGAGTAGATAACACTACTTAATTAGAGGGCATAAGAAGAATTTTTGAAATTATCGAAAAAAAAGGTTTTGAAAAAGTATAATTTTATGTCTCGGAATATTTTTAGTTCCAAACCACATCAGAGCAGTCTAGAGTCTAGACTAGAACAAACTAAAGAAGGCCAGTCAAGACTTAAGCTATGTTTCGATTAGGGGTGTTCGTCGGTTCGGTTTGGTCGGTTTCGGCTTGGTCAGTTCGGTTTGGTCGGTTTCGGTTTTAGAAAAGTTGAAACCGAGAATCGAACCGCGGTACTTGAGTCGGTTTCGGTTCGGTTTCGATTCGGTTATTTTCGGTCGGTTTGGTCGGTTTGATCAATTTTAGCATGTTTTTAATCGGTTTTTATCGGTCGGTTTCGGTTCGATCTGTTTTTTAACCCAAAAGGTGAACCGTAAACCGAACCATCAATGATTAGTCGGTTTGAGTCGGTTTCAGTTTGAGTCGATTTCGGTTTTGTTCGGTTCGGTTTCGGTCGGTTTGTCGGTCGGTTTCGGTTTTTCGGTTTTTTTGTTCACCCCTAGTCTCGATGAACAATTCTGCTCAAAATGAGCTAAATTTTGATAGATCCAGAATGTTAAATAACATGTAGCCTTATTTAGATTAAGAACTAGTCGTTGCTATATTAGAACATTTTTTGTATTGTAATTTTACATTTTCTTAGCCGTTGTTTCAATTGTGTAGTCAAAAAGTCTACTTCATTCGAATAGCATTATTGTAATTTCAAAAAGTTCTATCTATCTCCAAAATAATAGTCTCTAAATCATACTATAAAAGTCAAGTTTCAACTCAGATTTTTGATACATTCTTAAACAATAGACCGGACAAGCTAGATGAGACCAAAACGTTTTTGGAATATTTTTAGTTCCAAATCACGGAGCAATCTAGACCAGAACAAATGACTAACCAAGACCAATCAAGACTTGATTTATTTTTCGATGATCAATTCTTCTCAAAATGAGCTGAAATTTGATAGATGTAGAATGTTAAATAACATGTAGCCTTATCTCGATTAAGAACTAGTTTTTACTATATTTAAAACTAATCAACTGATTTGAAACGTTATTAATCCACTTATGTCGACTTTACCCTCTCGTTCATACGTAGTATTTACTTTATTTTATATTAAAACTTTTTCTTTTATTGTAATTTCACTTTTTTAGCCGTTGTTTCAGTTGTATATGTTGGGATCCCTCCTTAATTGGAGAGGTTCTAGAAAATTCTAGAGCTTTCTAGAGAAGTATAGAATTTTCTAGAACGTTGTGGAGAATCCTAGAGAAGTCTAGAACTCTCTAGAAGATTGCGGAATAATGTGGAATCCTCTGGAATATTCTAGAGATGTGTGGAACCTTTCGGAAGCTTATGGAAGAGTATGGAAGCATATGGAAGAGAATGGAGAGGTGTAGAGATTCCTTGGAATTCTCTAGAATAGGTAGTCATGTAGATCATTCTAGAGAAATATTCTCCACCACTCATTATGGAGGTGGAGTAGTATAAATAGGAGTAGGAGCCTCCATTCCTAACTATCCCAATCCTAATCCTAATCCTAGCAATCCTAGCAAGAGAGAATCCACTTCCTAGAGTGAGAAAGCTAGAGAGTTAGAGAGCCTCTTTAAGAGAGAAGAGAGTTAGCTTGGGAAGTTCCTATCCTCAAGCTTGAGTAAGCCATCATTGAGTGAGACAATTTTGTAACATCCTTGTAAATCCTACTATTCTTTTGTATAGTGGAAGAATCTCCATATTGGAGAATTTAAATCGTGTGCTCCCATTACTACTTAAATCCCTAAGTGCCTATCTTAACTTCACGAAGCGGGAAAGTCCAGAGTTTTTTCCCAACAGTGGTATCAGAGCCAGGTTGATTTGAGGTCATCATTAGCTCGTGCAGTTCAAGATGGAGGATAGCGTCGCCCATGATGGAGATATGTTCAAGCTCACCGCCAACATCTACTCATATTGGAAGCCAATGATGGAAGACCATTTATATTGCAAGGATTTGCATGAGCCCATCATCTACAAAGAGAAGGTTGAAGGCAAGAGTGATGCCCAATGGGAGCTACTGAATCGGAAGGCCGTTGCTATGATCCGTAAGTACATCGACAAATCCCTCTCCGAGCATGTGTCCACTTACATAAATGCTTATGAATTATGGACAAAGCTTGAGTCCATGATTCAAAAGAAAACACCTCGTAATAAAGCCAATTTAGTTCGACGGTTGGTGAAGTTGGAGTATAAGGATGGTCATAGTATGATTGAACACTTGAACAATTTCAAGGGGCTCGTAAATCAATTAACCAAAATTGAGATGAAGATTGATGACGAGTCGCAAGCCCTTCTACTCCTTAGTTCCTTGCCGGAAAGTTGGGACACACTCGTGGTTACGCTTAGTAACTCAGCTCCGGAAGGAAAGCTAACCATGGACACCGTCAGTGATAGTCTTCTTGGTGAAGAAGCAAGGAGAATGGAACGAGGTGAGTCTATCTATCCTGAGGTTAATGTTATTGAGAACCGGGGTAGGATTGAAACTCGTGGACGGAGTAAGAGCCGAGATCCGCAACAATCTTGAGATAGGTCCAAGTCACACTCGAATATCATATGCTACTACTGTGGAAGAATGGGCCGCAGTCAAATGGTTTTCTGAAATATATTGCGTTGTTTAACTCCACACGCAATTATCTTCAAACATTTATTTGACTGACTTCCCGATTGCATTTTTAGCGAAAATTGGGGAAGGGTAAACTAGACTTAATAAGAATATGATTAAAAAAAATCATCGAAAAATTCCACCGGTAACCGGCCTAAAAGGGGGCGACGGCTAGACAGAGTCTCCTGTAAAAAAGGTGATTTGAACTTTTTATGTTAGTTCGATGGCTTATTTGCCCCTTTTATGGTGAACTTGTATTGCTAATTTGAGTAGAACTCACAGATAAAATATATGTCGAAATTGATAGGAGAATAATAAAAGTCCTAATATACACACACTAACCGGAGAATAAAACGCTGCACATACGCGCTTTTTAATACTCCGTAACTTCTTAGGCATTTTCTAATTAAACAACAGAAAATATGAAAAATAGCACCGAAGATTTGCGACAGGAGATGGGGCTGGGGTTTATTGATTACACCCCCCATGCTCTCGACCCTCTCTTTCGGTCCTTGTAAAATTGTAATGACATTTTTTTAATTAATACGGAGTAGATAACACTACTTAATTAGAGGGCATAAGAAGAATTTTTGAAATTATCGAAAAAGAGGTTTTGAAAAAGTTTAATTTTATGTCTCGGAATATTTTTAGTTCCAAACCACATCAGAGCAGTCTAGAGTCTATACCAGAACAAACTAAAGAAGGTCAGCCAAGACTTAAGCTATGTTTCGATTAGGGGTGTTCGTCGGTTTGATTTGGTCGGTTTTCGGTTTGGTCAGTTCGGTTTGGTCGGTTTTGGTTTTAGAAAAGGTGAAACCGAGAACCGAACCACAGTACTTCAGTCGGTTTCGGTTCGGTTTCGATTCGGTTATTTTCGGTCGG